CCCCCAGCAGGAAAAAAGCCTGTGAGCACAATGCCTCATGTATCTGGAGCAAGAAGGCTTTGTCAATAGGCTCCCTCCCCTTAGTCAGGTGGCCCGTAGTAGACACCAATCACAAGGTTCCCTTTGTTGCCTCAGTCTCTGACTCTTTGTGCTGGTTTAAAAGTAAACCAGTGGGAGAAATGAACACAGCTCTAGAGAGATTACAAGTCAGAGTTACAATTTACTAAAAATAAATTACAATAGATGCAATGATACAGAGAAAAACTGGTTTTAACCCACAAAAACAGTTGTATAACCCATCCCCCTGGGACAAGAACAGAACAGTGTTCGTTGGCCCCTGTGCTGAGCACCACGTGGCCCTTCTGGGTGCAAAGTAAGAGGAAAGGAAAACCTGTTAGTCTGGGTGATGGTTGCAGTTCTGTTGAGGTAATGATCGCAGTCTTGTCAAGAGTGGCAGTGGCAGTCCTGTTGGAGTTCATGTCCTCCTCTCAATCCAATGAGTGGTACCAGAAGTCCCAAAACCCACAGATTATATATGCTCAAATTCAGGTGGGAATGTCCAGTACCTCCCCCAGGGCAGGGAGTTTCACAATGGGTGATTTAACTCTGTGAGTTATTGGATATTTTTGGAGTCTTTGATGGTATGGGTGTTGCAGCTGGCTATTATGCCAGTCCAGTATGGTCCATTAGCAGAGATGAGCCCTCAGGCTGGGTGTGAAGGTGCTAATTCCTCCCCAGAGGGGAGTTATCACAGCTGAGTCATTAGGTGTGCCCTGGGCAGCTGCTGCAAATGATCCATTATTAACAGTCCATCAGAAATTACATAGAGGGTGTAGAATACAGTTTTGGTTATACCCACATAGTAATAAACTGGTCCTGGCCCCTGTAACTAGGACACTCTTACCCACAGGCTTTCCACCTGCTCGTGACTGTTCGTCAGAGCAACTCATCACACTCAATCCACCTCTTGATGTAGAGGGCAACCTCTCCACCTCTCCTTCCTCCCCCGTCTCTTCTGGACAGCCTGTAGCCATCCATCATCACACTCCAGTCATGGGATTTCTCCCAACAAGTTTCAGTAATGGCAACAAGGTCATATCTTTCTAACAGCACGTGGCTTCCAACTCCTCCTGTTTGTTGCTCATGCCGTGTGCATTGGTGCAAAGGCACCTCAGCTGGGCTGTCAGCTGTGTCGCCTTCCTAGAGGAACATACCTTAATTCCTTTGAGATATTTCCCCAGTGTTTCCCTGTTGGCTTCTGTTACCTCAGGAGTCCCTGACTTGTCTCCATAAGAATTCAAGTGTGCTCCAGTGTGGCCAGCACATCTCAGAGTCAGCGGCAGAGGACCCTCACTAGCAACCTGTCCCAATCAATCACACCCTAGATTATCTTAATTTACAGTACATTTCACTTAAAGTATACTAATTCTGAACACAAAATAAATGAGCAGTGTGAGCATTCTCAGCTGTTTCAGTGCAAAACCAGTTGACTTAACTTAAATCTGTCTTAGACCATTCAGATAAAATTTTTTTGAGGATGCAAACGCCTTGAATTTTTGGGGCTATATTCTAGGTAATCACATAGCAATGTCCTCATTGAACTGTCCTCTTTTCTTAAACTCCACCAAAACTGTTATATAAATTTTACATATTTTTCCTTTTTTCCAACCTATTATATTACCTGCTATTATCAAAGTGACATAACTTGTGATATATTATTTTGAGAGGTTGAAATTAAAAACATGATCTTCCTAATATTAAATTGCAAGTTATGTGGTTTTTTCTGCAATAATCATGGAAGGATTTTTATGATTAAAGACATAGGAAAATAATTCACTTTCTTGTTCAGATATTGGATTTGACAGAAATTCTTCATGTTGAAAGATTTTCTGAATAAAACTACAGTTGTATTGTACAATTGCTATGCACTTGTTAAGAAAACATCTCATTTGTCAGTTATTTCACCTTTTTAGAAACTTTTTTATGATCACATAGCACAGTCAGTTATTGGAATGAATCAAATAGCTGAAAGTGCTAAGTTATTCTTTAAAAGTCCTATCTTAACTAGAACTGAGTGCAGTTGACTGGATAACTTTGCTGTTGAGCAGTTTTTATATAAATAAAGTTCAAGAATGAGTAATAATTCTTCACATTTTAAAACTTAAAGGAAAATGTACATGTTTATAAAAAGGAATAATGCTTACTTACACAGTGTATGCTGAGTTTAATAGATAAAGATCCTGTTGATGTTTTTTCATTTTTATTGTAGCTTAAAATGCTAAGAATTGACTTGGATTTATTGGGTCAGTAACATTACAGATTCATTTCAGTACATCTATTCAAAATGGACTGATCTTTCAAAAGTGAAAGTAAACAATTTGGTTAATGATTATAGCTGGTTGTATTATAGTACCTAGATAGCTTTAGTCTTTGATCAGACCCCTTTGTGTTATGTATTGTGCAAGACCAAGATGCCTTCTACTTCAAAGACTTAAAATCTTAAGTATAAAACAATAAACGGTAAATAAGGAAACACTTGAGAAGAGGGGGTTGCCATCCACTGACATAAGAGACCAAAAAATTTAAATCTCTGAATGGTTGGCTGTTTTGATATACATTATAGAGAAGAGTTTAAAGGAGAATATTTTGCAGAGTTTTATGTGGAGCTCAAAACAAACACGAAGGAAGTGGCATTGACAAAATCTCAGAATTTGACTTTGAGTTTAGGTAAAAATTAGTTGTTGTGGTTTAACTCCAGCCAACAACTAAGTACCATGCAGTCGCTCATTCACTCCTCCCGCCCCAGTGGGATGTGGAGGAGAAACGGAAAAAGGTAAAACCTGGGTTGACGTAAGAACAGTTTAATAATTGAAAAAAGTAAAATATTCCATACCATAATCATAGAATAGATTGGGTTGCAAAAGACCTCCAAGATCATCAAGTCCAACCTCTGATCCAACTCCAGTTACTATATCATGGCACTAAGGGCCACGTCCAATCTCTTTTAAAAACCTCCAGGGATGGTGAATCCACCACCTCTCTGGGTAGGCCGTTCCAATGCCTGATAACCCTCTCTGTAAAGAATTTCTTCCTAACATCTAACCTAAACCTCCCCTGGCAGAGTTTGAGCCCATGTCCCCTTGTCCTATTGTTGGTTGCCTGGGAGAAGAGACCAACCCCCACCTGACTATAACCTCCCTTCAGGTAGTTGAAGAGAGTGATGAGGTCGCCTCTAAGCCTTCTCTTCTCCAGACTAAACAACCCCAGCTCCCTCAGCCTCTCCTCATAGGACTTGTGCTCAAGTCCCTTCACCAGTCTCGTTGCTCTTCTCTGGACCCACTCCAGCACCTCAATATCCTTCCTGAACTGAGGGACCCAGAGCTGAACACAATACTCAAGGTGTGGTCTCACCAATGCAGAGTACAGGGGAAGGATCACTTCCCTGCTCCTGCTGGCCACACTGTTCTTGATGCAGGCCAGGATGCCATTGGCCTTCTTGACCACCTGGGCACACTGCTGGCTCATGTTCAGCCTCCTGTCAATCAGCACTCCCAGGTCCCTTTCCGCCTGGCTACTCTCCAGCCACTCTGTGCCCAACCTGTAGCACTGCATGGGGTTGTTGTGGCCAAAGTGCAGGACCCAGCACTTGGCCTTGTTGAACTTCATTCCATTGGAGTCAGCCCATCTCTCCAGTCTATCCAGATCCCTCTGCAGAGCCCTCCTGCCTTCCAGCAGGTCGACACTCCCTCCCAATTTGGTGTCATCAGCAAATTTGCTGATGATGGACTCAATCCCCTCATCTAAATCATCGATAAAGATGTTAAAAAGAACTGGGCCCAAATTATTATTATTGTTATATCCCTTTGGCCAGTTCGGGTCAGCTGTCCCAGCTGTGCTCCCTGATGGCTTCTTGTGCAGCTGCACTGCTCAGCAACAAACAAAACATCAGTGTGTTATCAGCATTATTCTCATACTGAATCCAAAACACAGCACTGTACCAGTTACTGAGAAGAAAATGAACTCTATCCCAGACAAAATCAGGACGGTAGTGAAAATCGGCTGGAAGATCACATTGTGTACAGATGTTGACACCCTGATAGTGATTGAGAGCAGATATTATAGAGATGGACCATAGATAGCTTTGAAAGTAAAATAATATAGTTTATGTAATCAAGCAGTCAGTAAAATAAGTAACATCACAGAATAGGCTACAGAGGATGACCACTTGAGGAAAAAATGTTGGAACAAAGATTAAGTGGTGCTTCAAAGTTTGGACAGTTACAGAAGTAGGAAGAGAACTAGGACAGAGCAGGAGTAAACATGGATTTCAAGATGATTATGTTTGACTGTTGGGAAAGATGACATTTTTAGGTCTGATCTTTAGCTAGGAAGGGGTTATTAGAGACATCAGAAATGGTTTTAAAATGGGTGTCAGGTGTAAGCCTGAGTAAGACTGAACAGGAGGGCAAATTCCAGACAAACTGCAAAGTTTTTATACGAGTTTAAAGATCAAACAAATTAATTGCATTTAAAGAAACAAAGGATATAGATTTAACTGAAGAAACATAAAGCATGTGTATATTGTGAGCAGGAAAAGAGGGCGATAAGGAGGAGTTGCAAAACAGATCCAGAAATTTCTGGGGTTAGATGAGAAACTGAAACTCTTCAGTTACGTAAAAAAAGTTGTGTTGGTTTTATTTTCTTAAACATCCTTCAATCCTATTTTATTTTGATAGAAATAGGTCAGACTTTAAAAAAATCTAAATAGGTGCAAGTTTAAAGAGTAAATAAAAAATTGGATAATGCTTCTAAAAGGTTATTATAAAGTACATTATTTCTTCATAACTGTGAATTATACACCTTCCTTTCTTAAGCACTGTAATTACCACAATCAAAATCTGAAAAAAAATGTTTTTCTGTTTAGTATATTTCTTAAAATTTAAGGTTTAGCATTTCAAGAATTCTTTTCATTATGAATAATTGTTTGTATTGGTTTACAGAAATTTCAAGACATTGAAGAAACACACCTTCTTCATATGAAAGAGATTATAGAATCATTGTCAAATACCATAAAAGAAATTCATTTGCAAATAGGAGAGGTAATTTTTATATTATCATTTGTTTGGACCATGCTACATGTTTTTCTTAATTATTAAATGAAACATTTCTTACTGTGTTTGTGGTAATCACAAGATCACATCTTTCAAACGATGGTAGATTTTAAAACTAGTATGAGTATAAGGAGATAAACAAAAATGATCTACAGAATTCAAAAGAGTTTCAAGCAGATATGGTTCTTTTTATCACAGATATCAAACATTATGCAAGTATTGAACTTGTTTATGAGATGTTTGAAGGAGATTTAAACATCTATTAAATTGCTGCTTTGGTCTTTTGTGATGTTTCTATATGCGTTTTCTCTTTTGTTATTCAAGCTTCTCTGTAATTTTTTATCCTCTAATTTTGTTCATTGTATTGCAATTCTTTTTATATCTAAATTCAACATAACTTGAATCTTTTATTGCTTCCTGATGTATTTATAAGTTCAATATCACAAATTTTGCAGAATAAGGCTGAATAATCATTACATTTTGTGTTAACGAAATAACTATATTTTGACAATTTGGAATTCTTTTCCCTAGATATTAATTAGTACCTATTTCACACATTTCAGGATACTTGTGTTTTTCTTTGACTAAAACTTGAAATTATATCAGACTGAAATCTTCCAAATTTTTTATATACTTTGGTTTTAATGAGCAAAAGACCTTCAGTAACAGTATCGAAAAAAGCTTTTATACTGTCTTTTCTCTAGATGCAAGTTGGTTTATGTCATGGTTTGAGATAGCCCCAAAATCTAATTCCCTAGCTCCATCCCCCTCCCACATCTCAACCCAATGTGAGATGGATTTTTCCAGACAAAACACAACCAGACTCAGAATGGGGGAAAGGGAATATATTACAATGACTGTACAAATAAATACTATAACACATTATACACACGATCACAACTATCTCTACCATGACATATAGTATTTACAATGGATCAGATCTCTTCTCCCCTCCAAATAAAAGTCCAGGAGGGAAAGAAGGACAGATCCCTTCCAGTCTCTCAGGGCAGCAGCTTCTTCAGAGTAGCAGAAGCAGTCTATCTCTCTCTCTCATGCATGCAGCTGTTGCTGGATCTCTGCCAGCACTCACGAGGGAGGTATCCAAGCTCCCTCGGCCCCGTCGCCAACCAACCGAGGGGTCTTCCGTGGACTTCGTTACCCCAGACAAGGTCGTTCCACCATGTCATATCACGAGATGCAGGGGGTCTTCGTGACGGTCTGGTATCTCCAGGAGATTCAAGCTCCTTGCAGGGCCTCTGCGCCCTGCCTCAGGCTGCCACCTTGGCAACAGTGCGAGGGGGGAACCAAGGTCACCCCCTCTGCATTCTTCTCTGTCCCGGTCCAGCTTCCCAGGACGCTCTGAGCTTCTCAACTCTTCTCTCTCTCTCTCTCTTGTGCTGCATGTCTCTGTTGCTCCGTCTTATCTCTTCTGGTTCTCTGCCACCGCTTCTCCGGTCAGTGCCGGCTGCTGCTCTTCTCCGGCCGCTGCCCAGTTTGGAGAAAACATCTCCCAGCTCACAGCTACAGACACATAGTCCAGCTTAACACTGTTCCAAGTCTCTGTAGCCCCAACTGGGGCTGGGGGGCCCCAGAGGCCCCGAGGGACTCCCGGCCCCTTTCCTCATGGCTCCTACAACATGGCTACTTCTTCTACTACCCAAACTACAACTCATCTCTTCCGGTGCTTGTGATATGTTTACATTTCTGCAGGAGCACCCATTGGACAGAATTTCAAAACTTCCAGGGGTTTCCACCCCTCGGGGGTTACCACTTTCTTAGCCTCTGGGGGAAAACAAGGTCCAAACCACTACAGTTTAATTAATAATCCTTATAAGTAGTCCTTAATTTATGTTCTGAAATGTAGTTTTATTTGTATATTCTTAATTTCAGTCACTGTTTTCCTCGGTTTTGAGGTTTTCTGCTAATGAATGGTGGTCAGAAAGGTCGTGCTATTTATTTCTAAAGCATATACATACTGCCTTGTTGGAAAACCTTATTAACAACATGTGGTTGTTCATTTGTCAGACTAAAATACATTACAACAGTAATATTTTTACTCAAGTGGGTGGGAATTGTGAGAACACGGGGGTAATAGTTTACACTCTTAAGTGGCGCTGGTTTAAGAGAGTGCTTGTCTTCCTGACATTGTGGTGGGACGTTGCTGACAAATTCAGAAAATTCTGGACTAAAAAATTGGTTTAGATAGAAGAAATGGAAGTAAATCTTAGACCCATCATCAAACTGTATTCTTTCATTCCTCATTTGTATCTGTATCTTACACACATTTGCATCTTACACACTAAAGCAAAGAAGTTAATACCTGTAGATTTTTGGAAGCTCTGTAATATATTTTAGAGGCAAGTATTTTGAACTCTAACTCTAGAGAAAACCACTTTTTAAAGTTAATTACATTCTTTCAATTACTGGTTTTAAAATTCCTTTTGTGTGGTGTGTTGTCTTTCTTTTTTTTTCTTTGCAGGTGCATGAAGAGTTTATTGATAACATGACAAATACTACGGTTAAGAGTTTAATACAGAAATTTGCTGAGTCAAAAGGAACTGGCAAGGAAAGACCTGGTAAGAGAGAAAAAATCATGGCTAGGCTTCGCGACCAAAGATTTGGGAAGGCTCTATCCACATTTGTTACAGGCATGCTGGTGGTTTATGAGGCCAAGACGTGACAGACATATCTGATTGCAGAAGGCACAACAGAAAGACTCCTTAGATGGTGTATTTTGCAAGACACGGTTCTTTCTGCGTTGCCTTTTCTCCTCGAGAGTGATCCTGCGTGTGTTCTCAAAGGAGACAGTTGCGTTATAGATGGTGTGTCTCCAGGCCTCCCGATTGGAGGTCAGAGTAGACCAGTTATGGTGATCAATATGGCCAAGGCTGAGATGTTGTTTCAGGGAGTCCTTGTATCTTTTCTTCGGGGTTCCTCTCATGCGGCAGCCAGTGGCGAGTTCGCCATAAAGCATGATCTTAGGGAGGCGGTGGTCCTTCATCCTGGAGACGTTCCCTGCCCATCGCAACTGTGTTCTCATCAACATGGCCTCTATACTTGTGACTGCTGCTTGCTCTAGAACAGATGTATTGGTCACATAATCTGACCAGTGGATGTTTAGGATTGTGCGGAGACAGCGTTGATGGAAGCGTTCTAGGAGACGCAGGTGGTGGTGGTAGATGACCCATGATTCGGAACCATACAAGAGAGTAGACAGCACAATGGCTCTGTAAACACTGATCTTGGTACTTTTCTTCAAGTGTTTATTACACCATACTCTTTTGTGGAGTTTTCCAAAAGCACTATATGCCTTTACTAACCTGTTGTCTATCTCTCTGTCAATCTTACCATCTGAGGAGATGAGGCTACCTAGGTAATTAAACTACTGGACTGATTTGAGCTCTGATTGGCCAATGGTGATGTGGGGATGATGGGGGACTTCCTGAGGTGCAGGTTGATGGAGGACCTCTGTCTTCTTTAAGCTGACTTCAAGCCCAAAGAGCTCAGCAGCATCTGCAAAGCAGGATGTTAAACGCTGCTGAACTGCTTCTGTGTGGGCGACAAGGGCGGCGTCATCAGCATAAAGCAGCTCCCGGACAAGATGGTTTAAGGTCTTGGTGTGGGCCTTCAGTCACCTTAGATTGAATAGACTTCCATCAGTACGATATCGAATGTAGATACCGTCCTGATCATCGAGGTCTGCCGTGGCCCTTTGGAGTATCATGCTGAAGAAGACTGTGAATAGGGTAGGAGCGAGAATGCAGCCTTGTTTCACACCATTCTTAATTTTAAAGGGCTCAGAAAGTGCATTGCCTTATCTGACTTGGCTGTGCTGATCCTCATGGAGTAAAATGATCATTTTAAGGAACTTGGGGGGACAACCTAAACGTTCCAAAATCTGCCACAGACCTTTTCTGCTCACAGTATCAAAAGCCTTGGTGAGGTCGACAAAGGTTACATGAAGACCTTTGTTCTGTTCCCTACACTTCTCTTGCAGTTGTCTGAGAACAAACACCAGGTCTGTGGTACTCCTGTTGGCTCTGAAACCACACTGACTTTCAGGTAGGATTCCTTCTGCTATAGTGGGTATTAGTCTGTTCAAGAGTATTCTTGCCAGGATTTTGCCAGCAATGGAGAGCAGAATAATACCATGGTAGTTTGAACAGTCTGATTTAATTCCTTTCTTCTTATACAAAGTGATGATGACTGCATCACGAAGGTCTGATGGTAGTTCGCCGAGCTCCCAACAGGGCACCACAAACTCGTGAAATTTAGGATGGAGTGCAAGGCCCCCATGTTTCCAGACTTCGGGTGGAATTCCATCAACCCCAGCTGCCTTGCCGATTTTCACCTGCTGTATGGCCTTGAGGGTTTCTCCTAAAGTGGGGGCAGTATCCAATTCATACTTCACTGGTTGTTGTGTGATGGACTGAATTGCTGAGTCTTGGACTACACAACTAGTACTGAAAAGAGTCTGAAAGTGTTCAGACCATCGATTCAGAATGGAGGTTTTATCTGTTAGAAGTGTTTGACCATCAGCGCTGAGTAGAGGGCTTTGGACCTGGTATGTAGGCCCGTATGCTGTTTTCTAGGCCTCATAGAAACCTTTGTGATCACCTGTATCTGCGCATAATTGAGTTTTTTCAGCTAAACCGATCCACCACTTGTTCTGGATGTCACGGAGTTTCTGTTGGAGCTTCCTGCATGCGAGAGAAAAGGCTGTTTTTCTTGCATGACAGGATGGCAGTGCAAGGTGTGCTTGGTGGGCGGTTCTCTTCTTCCTCAACAAATCCTGGATTTCTTGATTGTTTTCGTCAAACTGGTCCTTGTTCTTCTTGAGGGAGAACCCTAAGGATTCTTTGGAGGATTGCAGGATGCTGTTTTTAATATGGTGCCAAATTGTTTCAGGAGAGGAATCTGCAGAAACTGTGGAATGGTTTAAAAGCCTAGTTTGAAGGTTTGCCTGGAATCTGTCTCTTACTGTGGCTGATTGGAGATTAACTTGGAGTCTCCTCCTTGGGATATTGCCCCTTTTAGGTTTGAATTTGAGATTGAAGTTGAGTTTACAGCGCACAAGCCGATGGTCTGTTTGGCATTCTGCACTGGGCATCACGCGGGTATGGTGGACATTGCGAACATCTCTCCACCGCACCAGGACATAATTGATGAGGTGCCAATGCTTAGATCTGGGGTGCATCCACGATGACTTCAGACTATCTTTCTGCTGAAAGATAGTATTAGTGATGGTGAACTGTTGCTCCGCACAGAATTCGAGCAGAAGTCGACCATTATCGTTGCAGCTTCCAACACCATGCTTGCCTAATATTCCTTTCCACGCTTCAAAATTCTTTCCTACTCTGGCGTTGAAATCACCAAGGATAATGATCTTATCATCTGCAGGGACCTTTTGGGTAAGGCGGCGCAGGTCAGTGTAGAATTTATCTTTTTCAGCAGGGTCAGCTTGGAGAGTTGGGGCATATATACTAAAGATGACAATGCGTTGTTTGTTGTGGAGTGGAAGGTGCAGGGAGATAATGCGGTCAGAGTGACCTGTCGGCAGATTTTCAAGTTTTGGAATAATAGAGTTTTTGATCATGAAGCCAACTCCTGAGAGATGTTTTTCTCTTCTGGGTTTACCTGACCAGAAGAGTGTGTAACTGGCACCATGTTCTCTGAGGTTGCCTTCCTCATGAAGGCGAACTTCACTGAGAGCAGCAATGTCGATGTTGAGATGAGCCAGTTCATGGGCAATTAGGGCAGACCGACGCTCAGGACGTCTGCTATCTGCAGAATCGAGCATGGTTCTGATGTTCCAACATGCTAGAGTTAATTTAGGTACACCTTTGGAGGCAGGTGTATGCCTTTGTCTTTTGATCTTTGTGTGACCGCATTGGAAGAAGATACCCGTTGACCTGAGGTTAACCAACCGGGTGAAGGTGGAGATGAGCTTTGTTTAGGTCACCTTTTCTAGGCTCCTCTCCGAGTGGAGCCAGTAGTGCTGTCCTTGAAAAGGCTACTTGGTCATTCAGGGTGCTGCCCCAAGAGACTGTCATCTCCGGTCAGTCTCAAATGACCAATATCCTGAACTGCCTGCATGCGGGGTTGGGTCTGCGGCTTCCAGTGCACCTTTCACCTTCCGTTTCGACCCTCGCCTGTCGCTACAGCGCTTTTTGCATGTGGGTAAAGCCTTCAAGCCTGCACAATGTATTTTTTAGGTGAGATGCAGTATGCACGGAACTGAACCCACCCTTTAATCCTAAGGTTCATCTGCCAGGGCCGAGCGAGTTTGGACGGTGGCAGCGAGGTCCTCAGGACGTAGGTTTAATTAGAGTAACCTTCTCTTAGATGGATGGCCTTACAGGGCTAATTGAGCTCCATCTGCCCAGGTTTGGGATTAGAGTTGACCTTCTCCTAGGATGATTGCCAGAAGGCTAACGAGATCATCCTGCCCAAGAATGTATTGTATCTGGCCCTACGGTTTTGACCTGTCTGGCATGGGTGACCCTACCGAAGGCATGTACCATCGCCAGCATAGCTCACAACCGCACAGGATTACACAGGCTATGCTCCTATTATTAAAAAGATTAGGGCAAGTCTTACACTTCCTACTTTTCTGCCACCTGTCTATATTCAATCCCAGGGAAACATCCAGGGAAACACCCAGGGAAACACCCTTTGTCCTGACCACCCTTTCAGGATGTAACAAATATATCCAGAACATATCGAACCTGGGCAGTAGCCACAGGTGAGCCAAAAACAAACAAATGAACAAAACTGTTCTGGCCACTGTACCCACCCAGGGCTCGAGTACCTCTCCAGGTCCGAGCCCGGCCGAGATCCTCAACCCCCAGAGGAAACCATTATCCACCCTGACCTTATCCTCCCCCCACCGTGTTACCACATATCTTCCCACGCACTGCTTACCTGCCCAGCCTCCAGTCCGAGGACACCCACAGCCCACCCGGTACCCTTTCCCTCCCCCGCCCCCCCCCCCCCCCCCAAACTAGACCGGCAAACCTCTGTGTGCTCCGAGGCTTCCACTCTCCTCTCTCTCCTTTCTCACGAGGGCACAAAGCCACACCGTCGAAGCTCCCTCTCCCCATTCCCCGCTGGGGGTGAGGGGCCTGGGGGCAGGGCGGCCCCCCGCGGGCCCGGGGGCCCGACGGGGGGGCGGAGCCGCGCGGGCTTCCGGAGGGGGGGCCCGACCCCCACGGAGAGAGAGAAAAAATAAGTGTGTAGGAAATGTTAATATAAAAAATGTAGATTTCCACTCCTAATAAAAGGTCAAAACCTATTTGTTAATGTTTTACAGTGGTAATGTACTTACAATTTCAAATTCTTAAAATTAGCTTTGATATTAAATGATTAATGCAATTTTAACAACACAATTTCATAGAATCCTTAAAATGGCTTGAGTTAGAAAGGACCTTAAAGATCATTTAGTTCCCCCTCTCTTGACCTGCTGGCCACACTGCTTTCAGTGCAGCAGCCCAGGACACAGTTGGTTTCTGGGCTGCGAGTGCACATTGCTGGGTCATGTCAAGCTTTTCCTCAAGCAACACCCCCAAGTCCTTCT